CTGTTCCTCCTCAGGTGTAGATAAGCAAGAAAAAGATGTATAAAGACAAGTGGTAGATTTATAAATGACTAGTTTACTATGGTGTTTCTAATAAGAAAAAAATACCCAAACCAAACATTCTGCTCAAAGATGTTAGTTTTTTATGTACACCTTTCTCTATAATTTGTCCCTTAGTATTATAAGGTTATTGCAGCTTATAAATCAGCTGGTAACATTTTATCTTCGTTCTGATGGAAGAGACCTTTCTCTTCACTGAAGTAATTACTTTTGACAACAATCCATTGAAGAGATCACTGAAGTCTTCACCAGTTACATGATTCCAGTCCTTAACTGTACCACGTAATTCCTCTAAAAGAATGCAGATAAAAAGTTTACTTTTCAAGACTAGAAAAGTCTGGTCCTCCTTTGCTGTAGTTCCCAGAAATTTCTGCCCCACTGAAGTCAAATCCAGGGTTCTGATGGAGGTAAAAGAAAAAAAATTGTTCAATTAATAGATTATTTGTAATAAAAATGCTTAAAAAAACCCAAACCCAACCAACCAACCAACAAAAAGCCTAAACCACTTTGGTAATATTCTACCACTGTAACAAAGACATATAATAATCAACTTGTCATCCGTCTGTCATGGCACTGCAGAATAACCTTTTGAAAGTACAGTGATAAAGCATTAAACATTTTATATATATTGAACTAAAGCATATGTTTCCATGGCACTGGGCAGCAGAACCATTGTGCTCAGCTTTCCTGGCTGTGACCTCTGTGTGCAAACACAAACTGTAAGGAGTTTATGGTCCTTTAACTTGCCTCTCTCTGGAATCGCTCCAGTGTGAGCTTCCTCTGCATCTGGTCCTGTACCCAGGGATCAGCAGCGTATTCATTTTCTAACAGAGATGTCCAACAATTTCCAGCATCTCTATTTGTCTTCATTAGAACAATCCTTATCAGCTGCCTGTCTTCTGTTGAATGAAAACACAGAGAACAACCTTTAGACTCAGCCCTGTGTGCCAGTCTTTTTGTTTTGGTGAATTCACCATTAACAAGCACAGGGCGTGTGAAGTCATTTAAATTCTTAATGTCAATGCCAACTGGGTTATTGATAAAAAAATAAACATTAACAAAAAGCAAAAAGGCTGAAGCAAAGCTGGCCTGCACTGTCATCTCTCCCCTTTCTGGCCTGAAGTTGTTTTAAGGCATTAGAACACAGTGTGTAAAAGATTTCATCTATTAATACAGACACTTGTGCTAAGGCAATAATGAAGGATTTGAGGTCAGGCTTTACAGAGAGTTATTACCAACAAAAGTCAGAACTAAGTTTTAGGGTTAGGGTTATGAAGGGATTAATTAATTTTAGACACAGTGTGCATGCCGCCCATTGACAACATATTGGAAGCACATTTCAAAGTTAACATTTAGGGTGCTTAGTTCTACTTAAGTGAGTAAATACAGCATTTTAAGTGTATTTTGAAGATTATTCACATACTGACAAAGATGGGCTTAACAGTGTTTGTTAACACTTCTAGTTTTCATGCTTAAATGACTAAATTATTAATCTGTATTTAGAACAAATCTTGAATGGAAAACAAAATTTTTCGTAGGAAACAGTAAGTGAGAGGCACAGTCCATAAATATGATTGCCAAACCCCAAAATATGCTGAATATTTTACAGTATTTATAATATAAAAATGAGATACACTTTTTTTGCTAATTATATATAGCTACCTTAATGGGATTTTAAAATTTCTTTTTGATTCTCTGGGACCACAGATTTGATCACTCATTCCAAAAATATAATGCATAAGAGAAGGAGAAAAAAAAAAAAAAACAGAGAAAGTAACAATTATGGAGAGGCACAGATCACACAACTGTACCATTATTATTTACCTTTAAATGATGGTTTGCAAAAAACTTCTCACCTATATGCAAGTGTTTGTAATCCACTGACTATGGCCTTCCAGGATATGGCATTTCCCCATCAACCTTAATCTCTAGGGCTTTTATAGTACCTCTCAGTTCCTTAATCCAGCAATAATGAAGTCGCTTTTTACAAAGCTATTTACAGGGAACAATCTTTCCCATTAAAAAGGGGGGTGTGTAAACTCTTCTGCAGCATATATTGAGAAGTTCTACTGCCTTTATGTCATTTCAGATGCAGGTTATTACCTAATGTCCATGTGCCTTCATCAGTTACTGTAGAGTCAAAAAGTTTACCCTGCAAAAGACAGCACAGTATTACAAACCAGGAAAACCTCAGCAGCATCCAGTTATATTGAATCATGAAGTTTTACTCACAACTTACCATCTTGTTTTCTGCTGAAAACAAATAGAGTGATCTGGCCCTACAAGTCTAGTCTTGCATGCAGACTGTCACAGAATTATTGTTTGTTAAGCAATTTTTTTAAATGAAGCATTTAATACCCATCACTGTTTCAGTATCTGGATTTATTGAACAGGCTTGTTTCTCAGCAGGTAATGCCATTTTTAGTAATCTTGCCATGAAAATGTCAGGGTTTGTGCCAAGGTCTGGTGCAGGGTACGTACAGTAAATACAAACAGGATGAACTGTTTCTTACCAATGTGAAAGTAAATCTGCCTCTGTTTTTTTTTTTTTTTTTTTTTTTTTTGGCTTCCTGAAGCAATCAGAACTGAAACACTGCCCACATCTCTACTGCAGGTTCTCTGGGAAACGTGTGCCAGGGCCTCACCACCCTCACAGGAAAGAATTTCTTCCTAATATCCAATCTAACCCTGTCCTCTCTCAGTTTGAAGCCATTGCCCCTTGACCTGTCACTACATGGCCCTGTAAAAAGTCTCTCTCCAGTTCTCTTTTTGGCTCCCTTCAGCTACTGGAGCACAGGTACCATCTGGAAAAAACTGCAGCTAGACAAAACTGTTTCTAATAAACTTATAACTGACTAGTTTACTATACTATTTCTAACAACAACAACAAAAAACCACTGAAACCAAACATTCTGCTTAAGGATGTTAGCTCTTACATGCACCTTTCTCTATAGTTTGTCCCTTAGTATTATAAGGTTAATGCAGCTCATAAATCAGCTGGTAACACTATATCTTCATTCTGCTGGAAGAAACCTTTCTCTTCACTGATATAATTACTTTTGACAACAAGCCATTGAAGAGATCACTGAAATCTTCACCAGTTACATGGTTCCTTTTAATGTATCAAATCCTAGACCTCTAAGGACCAACAGGGAGGAGCCACAGGGCACAGGTGTGGAAACCTCCCAGGCAGCGAGGGACAGGACATGAGGACGTAGTTGGACTTCAGGAGGAATTTCTTCACAGAAAGGATGATAAGACATTGGAACGGGCTGCCCGGGCCGGAGGTGGAGTCACCGTGCCTGGAGGTGCCCAGGGAAGGACTGGACGTGGCTCTCGGCGCCACGAGGTGCTGCTGGGTCACGGGCTGCACTCCATGATGATGCTGTCACTCTGTGAGACCCCCAGCGCCCCGCGGCCCCCGCCCCGGCCCTGCCACCGCCCCTCCCGGCGGTACCTGCAGCAGCTCCTGCCCGCACACGGCCAGCGCGATGTCGCGGCTGCCCAGGCTGCACCGCACGTCCTTGGCGCGGGTGCCCGGCGGGACGCGCACCTCGATGAACACCTCCTCCAGCGTCTGGTACCAGCGGCCCCACGGCGTCCCGCAGGGCACCACCCCGCTGCGCTCCTCGAACGGGGCCGACATGGGGCACGGCGGCTCCGGCGGGCTCGGCCCAGCCCGACCCAGCCCAGCCCGGCCCCGCAGCGACCGCCGCCCTCAGCCCCGCACGGCCCCCGCCCCGCCCCGCGCACGCGCCCCGCCACCTGGAGCCGATTGGCTGAGACGCGCGGGGCGGCGGGCGGTGATTGGCCGGAGCGCGCGCGCTGCGGCCGTTGGGCCCCTTTGAAAGGCCGGGGCCGGGGGAGCTGTGCCCTAGAGCAGCCATGGCGTCCGCGCCGCCCGGGCAGCGCCGGCACCGGAGCGCCGGTACGGGGAGAGCGGGACCCGGGGAGAGCGGGGAACGGGGCCCTTCAGCCGTGCCTGGGGGGGACGGGGACCGAGCGCTTCAGCCTCGCCCGAGGGAGCGGGAGCCGAGCCCTAGCGTGTCACTCGCTGCCGGAGCCGCCCGTAGCGTGGCGCGTCAGGACCCCCTGAGCCCTCGCAGGTGTCTCCTGAGGGGAAAAGATCCCGACTTCGTGTCCAGCCTCGGCTGTTGCTAGATAAATACAGCAGTGAACGTGCGTAATGTGCGCGCTGATTAAAGCCGTGCCGGGCCTTGGTGTCCTCTGGTTCCGTGGTAGAGCACGGCAAGGGACGCGTAACAGGGCTTGTCACGGCTGAAGTGCTGCCCTTGAGGGTGCTTTTGTGATGTACGACTTTCTCAGTGAGTTTTTGGCTTTACCTGGTGCCTCTCTGCTCCTGTCACCCGTTCTCGTGTTAAACGAAGGTGCTTTTATTTGCAGAAAATTGAAGCGAGTAGATAAGCATTTACTGGGCTTGAGACTAATAATCGAATAAAAGACTTGTAGCCATGATGTTTCTAACGGCTGTTTCCCTTAAAATTGTTTAATTTCTAAAAAAACCCCTCAAACACTTAGGTTTTTTTATAAAAGTTTAACTGACTTAGTTATTTGAAGGAAAAGTCATTCACTAATATTTAAGTACTATCTTCTAAATTGGAAAATGAAGATTAAAAAAGCAAGTGAAGTGTACTTTCTATTTAACCCTTCAGGCTGGCTTTTTACCCAATTAACATTAAGATGCTTTGGGTTTTTTTGTTGTGCAAGTTAATGTGCTGCTGTCACCAATAAAATGCCTTGCAATGTTGTGTGTAAAAAAGTTTGTAATTTTATCAGCAGTGTGATAAACAAACCCTTTCCCCCACCATATGACCATTTATTTTCTTTGTGTTTATTGGGAGGATGAGAACTAAGACTGTTGGGGTGTGGTTTTTTTGTTTTGTTTTTGTTTTTTTTTTTTTTTTTTCTTAAGTGTGTTTAACTTAAATGTGTTACCAGCCTCAACTCGTTGAAGTTGTCATTTACCTTTGTGGTTCTTTGCATATCCGAAAATCTCATTTCTAGCATGCATCCCCTCTGCAAGGATCCTGTGATGTCAAACCATCAGGTGGAGTGAGAAGCTTGCTGTCCTCTGAAGCATGCCAAGGGGCTGGGAGACACAAGAGTGAGTGGCTGTAAAACTTGCCCAGAACGCTGTGGTGTGGTATCTTTGAATGCTTCAGTTGTCAGTGCTTATGTGCTGTTACTGCTCTGCTGTTAAGAAGTTGGTCTCTGCTGCAGAGACTCACTGCCTGCCTTCCAGCTCAAGGGAACAGCAGCTGTAAAAACATGTCTAGCTGCATCTGCTAAAAATAGCTTTATATTTTTACTCCATTAACCTTGATTTTAGCGATGTTTGCATGGGGTTTTTAATATATAAAGCATCCCTCAGTTGAAAACGGACACCATGGATCTGGATTGTGGTGGGGAGAGCTTGGCAGAAGCTGAATTCTCAGATCTGGCTGTCATCTGGTCATCTCTCTAGCTTTGTCAAGGGCCCAGATGACTAACATTGAACTGCCTGATTGCAGTAAAAAAGCAGCTGGTGTTGGGTTTGAAGTGGGTAGTCTAATAACCAGGTGGTGTCTTCTGTACACAGAGTCAATTAACCTTGTCTAGTTTGCTTAAGTTTCCCTCCCTGTGTGATTTGTGCAACCTCTTCCCTCACCATTCTTTTCTGCAGGTGACTCAAATCTGAGCAGTGAGAAAAGTGCACCCACCCCTGTAAGGGAAAGGAGATTCACGTCCCTTGGATCAACAGTAAGACTCTTCTGTGGTGTCTGTAGCACACTCCCAGCTAAACCTCTGAGTGGATAAACCATGTAGCCTCTTCATACAGTTACTGTTAACCTGCCTGAGAGAACCATGGAACGCATTGTTGTGCCTGTATTCTGCAGTAACTAAGCAGGATCTTTGGGAGTCATGTGATGGTTACTTGGGGTTACAGAGTGGCTTATCTTTAGTGTTACAGTGTTTGGATTTCTTTTCCTTTGCTCACCATGTAATTATGGTGTGGCTGCTCCTTTTTAAGAATGTGTTTCTTTTCCTGCTTTCATGGGGTGGACAGGGCAGAGTAGAATCCTGGTGGTGCAAGAAACAAGAAGAGGATGGTACTGCATGAACAGGTTCTCAATGCCATGACCAAGGACATGGATTTGAAGATACATGGCTGAACAAGCTGAAAAAATGATAGTCCTGACTTACTAATTTAGTGCACTACTAATGATTTAGGATGAAATTCTGCAAACAAACCTGTGGTTAAAAGACTAAAGTGAGTTTTATTATCAGGTTTAGGCAGTGCTAATGTCTCCAACTTCTTGTTGCGATTGTTGTGAGCTGTTCCTTCAGAGTGATGCTTATGAGAAAGTACAGTGGTAAACCCCATCCTACCCTGATACTTGTCTGTGCTGTGTGGGGGAGAGAAAGGCTTGCTTTTTATTTTATGTTTATCTTTATATGAAGGCACTCAATCTTACATTTAGCTGTGTTGTTCAACTGGTGTGCAGCTAGAGATCAACTGAACTATATCTAACACAAGTGGTTTCCAAAGCCAGGTAATGGGACTGTGAAGACTAAAAAAGATCTTATGCTTATGAGGGAGAAGAAGAAACAGAAGGCACTGGAGAAGGAGGTATGAACGTGTTGAGGAGTGCATTCCTGTCATATCTGCCACTAACCAAAATAAAAGATACAAGCTGGTAGAACTGGCCTCTTGCATAGGAGAGCATACAAGTAGCTTGCAAACAGCTCTGTGCAGAGCAGAGATTATCAGATGTTATGGGATGTACAAAGCATTGGGTTTGCTAAGAACAGCTGTGCTGGCAGTCTTCTCAGGAGAACTAATCCTATGTTCAGCATCCCTGGAAGGTTCTATTTAACAACTGCTAGCTGAGATTTTTGCTTACTAATTGTTATAATTTTAATGTTTAAGAGGCAGCTTGCACTGTATCAGTACATTTCTGCGTACTAATTGATGCCTTGTGCCTCAGATGTCACATTGTCTTCTTGTCTGTCACAGCTGCTGCCTAAAGATTTTTAGCTTTTTGCAGATTTCAGTGGAGCTGTGTAGTTTTCTCTCACTTTAGACTGTTACTTTCTCACAGTCTGAATCTCATTGCTGAAGCTTTGCTTTAACTGTCTTTTCAAGGTAATAGATTTTAGCAAGGACATTCCACTGGGATGTGCATCTGGACTGGAATAACAAGAGATGTGGTAGACAACAAGATATAAGGCCCTTGGAGGGGCTCCAGTGGGGCAGTTCTGAGGGTGGTTCCAGGGTGAAAGAGGTTTTTGGTTGGTTATCCCCACTAGATATGTTAATCAGTTAAAGATAAAAGTGTAAGAATTCTGTATGCAAGTGTGTGCCTGTGTATTGGGTGCACCTGGAGGCCTTCATTCAAGAGCTGCTTTCTATCTTATCTATACTAATATTGTTTGGAGAATTTTTCTTCCATTGTAGGCATCACAGCCAAAGAGGAGAGTTGGCTTCTATTGCAAATTAAAGCTAAGACTATTTTAACTAACACACTGTACTGGTACTGTAAATATGGTGTGCAATAACAGAATCACCACTATTCTCTATTACCTCTTTCCTGTGGATGACAGAGTTAAAGATATATAAAGTTAATGCAGTTTGGATACTTATGCCTGTGGTTTTCTTGGAGAGACTAAATTAATGATGTTTAAGAGAAATTATAGTAGGAAATAAAGAAAATAACTCTTTTTTTGTTTTAGATTCGGGCGTTAGTGAGGGAGCGTGGAGAGCAGGATAAAAAACTTCAGGCTCTGGAGGAGGATTTTGTGAAGATTGAAGCAAAGCTGAGTAGTGCAGTTCAGGAGAAAACATCTCTTTCAGCAACTGTTGCATGCCTAAAGAGGCAACTTCTGGAATTAAAAAGAAGCAATGAACTACTGAAGTCAAAGGTATTCAGACAAATAAGTGCATATTTGCTTTTCCTTTGCTGTTATTGAGCTCCCTGTGCAAGAGGAAGCTTTAGCTGCTGATCAGCACCTGTTTTATCATTCTCTGTGCCCCCTTCACTGGCACAGGGATGGAGTATGTCTGGTTTGGGATCTTGTGCACTTTGAGTGGGAGGGGAGGACTTTGAAAGGATTTCGTGAAGAGCAATTCATATGGAGGAGTTATGCTTAGTAATTTTATATTCTTCTCTAACAAGCTGTCTGAAGATGGTGTGCCAAAGAAAATGAGCAGCCTGTGCATGGAGTTAATGAAGCTCAGAAACATGAGGGATGCTAAGGAGAAGGTAGGACCATTTGTGCTGCACAGGGCAGCAATCCTGAGCTGTTCAGGAACAAAGAATGAAAGGCTTAGCACAGAACTGCAGATCATTTGTTGTGTCTGTCCTCAACTTGGAAGTCTGTCCTCAACTTCCTCCACTTTCTGTAGAGTGAAAATAGGGAATGAAAGATCAGCTGATGAATGTTCTTCATTTTGCTGATCTGCAGAGTAAATCTGAGTTCAAATTAGGAAGCATAGAAATACCTCTGATATTATTATTTATGGTATTATTAATACCAGTCTGGTCACGCTATGAATCTCTTTGAAAACCAGTGACTGTAAGTATATTTTGAAACTCTTATATGTTAGTATTTTTCTGGTGATAGTGGTTGTTCTAATAAATGGCTGATATCTTTACAGAGGCATACTTGGAATCACATTTAGCATAATATCAGGTGCTATTATTAAACTGTAGTGAGAAATTGGTTTCAATTTACCACTGTCTCTTACCCAATGGATTTGGTGTCTTGTACTAAATCTCATTTTAATGTTAATGTGTGCCTTTTTTTTTTAAGACTGCACTTGCAAAGCAGGAAAACATGGAAATGAAGCTGCAGGAAGTGCAAAGGAATCTAGAGCATTCAAAAGGAAAAGTAGCACAGTTAGAAGAAAAACTGTAAGTAGCAGGAAGGGAATTGACTTAGGTGACACCATCTAACTGCTTACTTGCTTATCCCTTAGAGTAAGCAAAATAGAGGCTCTCTCTGCTGAGAAGGAACAGACACTATCAGTGTTGGTAACCTGGAAAAAATGTGGTGGAATGAAGTTCTAAGAACTGCTGTGTTCTTATAAAATGACTATACAGAACATTGTTCCTTTAGTGTATTTCCAAAAGACAGACTGTATCATCTCAACCTTTTGTCTTCCAGGGTGGTATGGGTGGGATTTTCTTGGGTATGGGATGGGGAGGGAAGACATGAGTCTTAAGAATTGTTGTTAACCTTGGAGCAAGACATTAATGAAGATTGGATTCTTCTGGCTCTTTAGACTACTAAGTTAGGAATAAGCAAGAATGAAAAAGCATTAGAGCAGGAGCTGAAATCCTAACTGAGCAGCCAGGCATTTCACACAGATTCCCAGGACGTGTGCATGTTCTCCAGAGAGGGGCACTGAAGAGCCGTTGTGGTGCCTTCACAGTTGCTTTGTCGTAGACACATTCTCTGAACAAAGGCAACTGCAGAGTGGCTTGGCTTCAGCAGCTCTGTGTTGACGTTATTTGGGCAGAAGAGGAAGTGTTGATTCAGAATTCAGTCATTGGCTGCACAGGAACACTGTGTGTAGGTTTTTGCTGAGGATGGTGACTTATGAAGTCAGTTTTGCATGATTGGCACCGCAGCACAACTTGAGTGTTAAAATACACAAAGCTGATAATGCAGGGTGCAGGTCACAAAGGGAGGAAATTCTAATTTGCTACAACAGCTGCGTTATGTTTATGCATTATGGTGTTTGTGGCAGAATATGGCTTAGCATCTTTAGTGCAAATGGGAAGACCATATGGAACAAGTATTAAAAGAGGGTAGAATCCTCTCTTAGAGCCGATACCACTTTGTCAGCTAAACTGGCCTATGAAAAGTATGTGTTACTGTGTAGCTCTGAATTTGCTTAAATGTATCCATCATAAAAACTTCCTGGTTTTAGGTCTGCTACTGAGAGAGAGAAAGTTGAAGAAAAGTCTGACACTGAAAAACTCCTGGAATACATCACAGAGCTCAGGTACCAACAAATTGTTCTCAAGTTGGCTGGGGTAAGGTAAAAGGTGGTAAAACTAAGCCTTACTTATGACTGGTGAAGTAGAACCTTGGCAATAATTACAGAGGAGGGGAAAGCAGGTATTTTTCCACATGATGGAAAGAAATTGTAAGATACTATTTTAATTGTCTTTCTAAATGCCCCTGTGCTTTCCTGGGCTGAGCAATACTGTGAAAGACTTCTATGTCCATGTAAACCAGTCTTACAGTACAAAAACTTGTGTATCAAAAAGTAGGTGAAAGCATTTTTCCTGTTGGAAACCAATAGTCCTAAGCATTTTTCCTTTATGTTGAAGTGTAAGTTGGCAAATAAAATTTAGTAGTAACAAGTGCCTGAATTTTCTCCTACAGTAGTGTTGCAGAAGCAGCTGAGAAATACAAACTAGATATTGCTCAGATGAAGGAGACACTGATTGAGAAAGACCAAGAAATTGAGAACCTGAGGGATATCCTCAAAACAAAAGAGGAATCATGTAAAGTGATGAAAGAACTTAATGAAAAGTGTCAGTTGCTTCAACAAGAAAAAGGTAATTTTTAGCTCTTCCATATGTAAGATGATTGACATATCTTAAATCATCTCAAATAGGTTTGTTCCAAGTTAAAAGTTGAGTCTCTGAGCTCCAGCTGAAAACAGCTGGACATGTTTTTAACAGTGGGGAAATTACTTCACATCTGACATCTATTAAGTCTGATTTGGTGTTTCCATAGAGGTTTACTCAGGTAGACAGTATGGAATGAAAATAGTTTGTATAGCAGGAGTGGCTTTAATCTGAAAGGTAACCTCTAAATTCCTGTTCCTTACTCTTCACTGAGAAGCAGGATAATGTTGTGTGAATTCACAGCTAGCAGCTTGTGCACAGGTTCACTGAGGTACTGGCAATGTGCCAAAGATCCTTCACTTCCTTACCCCTTCTCTTCCAACACCACCAACTCAGCAATGTGAGACAAGTCCTCATTTCTCTGTACCAGTTGGCTTCTGTGTGCTAGTACTATGTGGAAGAAGCTTTGGGGAAATCATGGAATTGTTTTTCTCCAGCCATACCGCTGTTCTGATAAAGGCTAATTGCTTGATCCAAACATTCCTGATGTTAAAATTATTTTCCAGTGATGTACTTCGAACCAATTTCTAGGAGTTTCCACATGGGTTTAAGATGTGGGTTTGTTTTGCATGGGGTGTTTTTGTTTGTTTGTTTTCCCTTGCCAAATTAACTTTAAAGCTGGAATGGAAGTACTATGAAGAATAGGTACTGTAGTTCTTTGAAAATGGAGAAGAGAAATTGTGTTATATTGACAATTTCTCTGTGCAGAGAAAGAGTTGTCTGAGACCAGAGGAAAGTTCCTGAGTATGAATGCTGAAATAGAAGACCTGAAAAAAAAAATTGCTTTGAAGGAAGAAGAACACCAAAAACTGCTTCAGAAACATGAGGAGGTTGTCTCTCAGCTGCAGCAAGAGAAGGTAAATACAGACTATAAATGAATCTAAAGATAAACTCTAATCCCAAGGACTGGCACTAAAGGTTCTGGTTTAGGTTCTGCATGAGATGTTTTATTAATAATGGTTTCATCAGTGGAATGTACATGTGGGGGCTGGCCAGCAGAAACTATGTGTGGTCCAATAGGTCTAAGAATCAGTGCTGGTATGATGGGTGTTTTGGTTCTTCCTGTAGATTTGACCTAATTCTTGTGCTATGAAGTTTAAACGCAGCAAATTAGGCTTTACTATCTAGAAAAGTACTAAAGGTTTTGAAATCTGTGGTATTCTGGCATGCAGGAGTCATCTGCATCAACACAGCAGAAGCTATTGGATTTGCAGGGTGAGGTAACAAGTGAGAGACTTCTTATTGAAGAAGAGCTGAATGATACCATGAATGAGCTGAATAAGTTACATGCAAAGGAGAAGGAAGCTGAAAAGTTGGTGAAGCAATTGGAACAAGAAAACAAATCTCAAGGTCTTGAACTTGCACAGATGGAAAAAAAGTTGAAAAGGTTTGCAAAAAACTTCCTGGTTCTAAAACTTTGAAAGGAAAAAATGTTAAATCAGTAGTACAAACAAAGCTTCTGAGCCCAGTTCAGGTTTTAGAGACCTGGACAGGTCTAGGGTTATTTCTTACTGGTTGTTGATTACTGATAGTGATTAGATCTTGCCACTATGAATAACAACTTGAATCAGTTCTACCTTGTCTTTATTTAAAACTATTAGCTTGTGGAGATTTGCTTGAAAGGCTGGTATTGCAGTGCTATGTCCTTGCTGTGCAGGGTAAAACTAAGTGCTTGTTTTATTGGGTGTTTCTGCCCTGCCCTGGAGAGGGCAATGACTAGAAAAGATTTTCAAACCAGTTGTTTCTTCCTTCCATGTATTAGGAATTTACTGTTAAGTGTTTAGTCTATCTTATAGCTGTCTTGGAAAATATGGGGAGGGGGAAATGCTTAGTTAGATCTGCTGTGAAGATTGTGCTTTAGTACATGGGGAGCTACTGGTTTGTCACAACTAACTGATTGCTGCCACTGCAAGCCTTGTGTAACTGATAAGAGCATTTGGTAATGTGTTCAGATGCTTCTCTCCAGTGTGGAATGCTGAATTTTTATTTCAGGAAGAATGCTGAGTTAGAGCAAATCAATGCAACTCATAGGAGTGCTATATTGCAAATCCAAGAAGAGCACAGGAATGCACTGCAGAAACTTGGAGAGACTGTTGCTGACTTTGAAAGGTATTTAAGATACAGGATAGGGGTTATCTCTAGGATGACACTGTCCATTCACATGCCTTGGTACTTCACACTGTATGTGAGTGTTGGCATTAGAGCAGAGGATTTTGATGAAGTATTTGATGGCATTAAGAATTTATTCCTTGAGTACTAGGTGAGTGTAATGACATACTGAGTATGTAATTCGGCAAACTGGATGTTTCTTCTTCCAAAATGTAACCAGCTGGAGGAGCTAAGCGCTCTTGAATCAGAATCAGAGTTGTAACTAGTGATGGTATTCTCTTTGCACTGAAATGTCTTGCAAAAAGACTACTTGTTTAGGCTTCAAACTTGGACTGAATTAAAGACTAGTTTCCTACGTTTCTTGCAAATATGTTATCTCAAAATATCCAGATTATGGAAGTATGTAAAAAGTGGTACTGTAATTCCTAGGTATGCATGGCACCCGTGAAGGATCCAGTGGAATATTTGCCCATGTAAACTGTAGACAGCAGATTTTTCGGTGTTTAAAATAAGCTTCAGATACAGCAGAGTTTTTTGTATTTTAAAATGTCTACAAAAAGATAAAAATACCTGTATCACGGAATTGGTTAGTGTTTATGGCTTTATGGAATTGTGTTGTGGCTTGCTTTTTACCTTTGGATTTATCAGTGCCAGAACACTGCCATATCTTCAGATTATAAAATCTTTGGCACTTGTCAGAATGAGCTTGTATTGTTCTTGTGAGGCCTGAATGTGTCATCTGTATTTTGTTTGAAGTAACAAGATTTTTTTTATTTGCCTTGTAATATCAGCTACAAGAAGACAACAGCTGAAGAAATATACTGTCTTAAACTGGAGAATACCTCTCTGCAAGAAGCAGTTGCCAACCTAAAAAAAGTAGGCCAAGAAAATCTGCAGTTGCTTCAGGAAGCAGAATACACTAAAAACAAAGCAAAGGAAGAATGTGCAAGGTACTACAGTCAGTCTTCCTTAAGCTAAATAATGCAAACTAAGGCTTGCCCTTCTAACTAGAACTTAGTGTGGTGCTCTGCTAGATAAAATAAGCATTTGGTGTAAACTGGAGTTTCTGGTTTTCCCAGTGCAAAAGGTTGAATCAGTTCTTTCGAGTTTTGCCTACATGTAGAACATAGAGGAAAAGGAAAATACTTGAACGAAATATGCTGGAATATTATCATTTTCAGAAATATCAGTTACAGTGACTCTTCCACAGATAAGATCCACAGGGGAGACAAACAAATACTTAATGCAGAGCTCACTCTTTGTCAGTTTACTCTGAATGATCTGTCACCTTAAATTCTGCTCACAAGCAGATGCCAATTAACTATCCATGAATTGCCACACTGGTGATGTACACCCTAGGTCCTCTCTGCCTAATATGAGGCACCACAGTTACAAGAACTTACACCCAGAAGTTGTGTTAGGCCACTAGCTGAGGACATGCTTCTCTGACTATCCAACAGCAGTTTAGTGGTCCATGTCCTCTGTTTTATCTGCTGGTTAAGATGTTGCCCTCCCTTTCCTCTCCACCTGCTTATTATTGCCTCCAGTTTTCCATGAGAGCTCGTGAAAGACAAACTGAAGAGTTATTTTCTGTTTGATTTGCTGGTTGGGTGTGGTGGGGAAGGGGTTCTTAGTCCCCATCTGGTTGATGGGACAAACAGCTGAGGCTGAAGAGGGGAGACAGTGCTTTTAGGTTTAGGGCTTTTAAAATCTTGAGGTGCATCCACACTGAAGAGTTTGATTGGTTTCTGCCTGAGCCAGTCTCTGCATGTAAAGCCTAATAAGCTATCTCTGCAAAAAGCTGTTGGCATTGAACAGCCGTAAATGAGAAACATTATCTTTCCTTTCTTCAGAAACAGTGCTTGCTTCCTCATAGGAGAAGTTAATTATTATACATATTGAACTTGGTTGCTTTCTGTAGTGTTGTTCTCTCTGTGGCACTGTTTGTGCAATTCTCTATTTCAGTTCTACTGACAGCTTTTCAGTCATGGTTACTTGTGTTTTCAGATTCAGAGTTGTATAAAAAATATACATATTTAAGGGTTCATTAAGGAATGATATCTTCCTCAGGATGCTTTTAGAAGCCCAGACCAAGCTTGCATTAAAAGAAGCAGAAACAGAGAGAACAAAAGAGTCTTGCCTTGCACAAATGACTAAACTTGAGGAAAAACTGGAAGAGCAAACTGAAGAACTGAAAAGGGAACTTGAAGCAGAAAGGTCAAGGTAACTTTCTCAAACTAAACCTGCATGTTATGGCACATCCAAGTTATATTGGGAAGAAGTGCTGAGAGTTAACCATGAACATAATGAGACTTCACTTCTTGCTTTTTAGGAACTCCGTAAATGAAGATACGACCTCAAGCTTAAAAAAAGAGATCGAGACCTGGCGTAATCTATATGAAGACTTGTATAACAAAACGAAGCCTTTTCAGGTGTGTTGGGAAGTAGGTGTGTGTTAGTATCTGTTCACTGAAGACTTGCAGTTGGCTCAAGTTCTGCTTTTGAGAAGTAAATGTGCTGCTTCTCATTGCAATGCATTTATCCTGCAGTGGTTTCCTAAGTTACCATGCACTGAGCCAGCTAGTCCCCTTCCCAAACCAATCTTCCTGTGTAGATCTCAGTTCAGTAAAAAGCTGTGTTTAGTTGAAAGATTTCTAAGAGATTCAATTTGTACTTCAGCAACAACTCGATGCATTTGAAGCAGAGAAGAATGCAATCCTACAGGAGCATGGAGCAACCCAGGAGGAACTGAATAAACTAAGTGATGCCTATGCTAAACTACTTGGCCACCAGAACCAGAAGCAAAAAATCAAACATGTTATGAAGCTGAAGGAAGAGAATAACCACCTGAAGAAGGTTTGTGAAATTAAAAATTAAAAACCTGCAAGGTATTATTGTGCCCAATGTCTTTTATTGCTCTAAATATTTATAGACTAATCTTGAAAGTTTTTTACTTTGTGATTCTTAAATTGCCTGCATGAACCAGATTAGAACAAACCACCAGCCTCCAGAATGACCAAGAGAACCTGTTTTATTTTTGACTGAGTGTATGGCATAACAGAGGGATCAGCAGTGCAAATAACTACTCCCACTCTTAGTTTAGTTGGCTTTTCTTACCTCCTTTGGAGGTTCTAAACTTAGTAAACTAGCTGTTGAAAGTTTCAGACTAATATACTGCTTAGTGTTGTTGCACAGCCACTATACAGTGCTGCTGGCTTCTCTGCACCTCTGTCTTTGTGTTGGGGTTTTAATGGCACCAGCAATTGTGTATTATGTTTGTTATTAGGCAAAATGGCTCTTCAGTAAATGATGAAGCAGGCTCTTCTGTTCTTAATCTAACTTCCAAGTATGATGTTTTCTGTAGGATGTCTCCAAGCTGCGTGCGCTGCTATCCAAGGAAAAGCAGACCAACAGACACCTTCAGGAGCAGCTGTGCAGAGTCCAGGGCATCAAGCACTTGGATCCTTCCAAAGCTTTCCAGTATGATAGCAAGGAGAATATTCCTCCAAAAACTCCTCTTAAAGAAGGTAGGTTTAGATATTGATGTAGCCAAGTCTTTGTACTTAAACTTACCCAAAGAAGGTATGAAAGCCTTGCACAGTCTGCTACGTTTGGGGAAGGAAGGAGAATGGCATCTCCCGTGTTTCACAGCAGATGTTGGAAGCTGCATCAATGGGACACTCCCAGTGTGCAGTGTGCTGTTGTGCTTTCCAGGCCAGGTCCTTGCTGACCTGAGCAGGTGCTGTGCTGGGTCAGACAGCAGAGCCATTTTCCTCCTGTCACCCAGCTCCTGGTACAGCTGAGGGGGGGTCAGGCTGTGTCCCCTGCGTGGGGGTGTGGGTTACAAGTGGCTCAGGCAGAGTTCTGTGCCTTGGTTCTTTAGCTGCTACTTGTCAGGACCTTAGACTACTGTAGATGTCAAGGAAAGATGCAAAAGGCCTGCAGATAAATGTGGAGTGGAGGAAAAGATGTAGAGAGCATAGAGGTGCACTAAGGGAAGCAGTGTGGGAGAGAGTGTGGGAACCAGACCTGCACTAGAGAGTCTGTTCTGGGGTCTGAAATCCTGGTTGTTCTGTTAGATGGAGTGTAGTGCCTTCTACCCCCCAGCAGATAAGTAACTACTTGATGTGGTGGGAGCAATAGTGAAAAACACCAACTTAGTAACATTTTTCCCTTGCAGGTAATAAAAACCAAATTTAATGCCTTCTTGGTATTAAGAAAAATAAAGTACCAATAAATTTGTATGCTACAGAAGACTACAACAGCCTGCTTCAACCAACTCTTGGAATTGATCACTGTTAGTGACAGGGAATAACAACAGAACTTGTCTCAGTTGGGTGGGAGGGTACCCACTGCACATGCAGGCATTGTATAGACTTGAATCTTGGCAAGGGGGAAAGAATCTGTTTAACTGCATCTAAAATTAAGCATGTTTTAGCACAATAAAATTTTTGAAATAAAGAATATGTCTACTTCCTTCCCAAGCCAAGGCTAAAAGCCAAAGCAGTGTGACTCACCTACTGTTCTTTGTTCTAGTCTTGTCTTCATAACACAGCCCAATGTCATTCTTGCCTCAAAAGCAACATGTTCTCTGGTCTTAGGGAAATTATTTAGTTGAACTGTACAATACCTACAACCTGCAGTTCTCTTATCTTCTCATTTCCTATGAGTTTCTCTTAATACAAAAGGAAATACTGAACTTAACTGAAAGGTGGAACTCGGTGTTCTTGTTATTGTATCTGCTGATACCCTGCACCAAGGAGCTGCAGAGAGGCCATACCCAAAACTTAGCATGTAGCATATGTTGCCATTTATTCTGACACTGTGAGTTTACAGTGCATCAAGTTAGAAAGAGTTTGACAGAGGGTATGATATTCTAAGTGAAGCCAAATAGGGCAGGTGTCATAGGACTGGGCTTTTATGGTTGCTACATCTAGAGCTGCCAGGAGCTGCTTATATTGGCAGAAGAACAAGGAAACTCCAGCAAATAATTCTGCCACCTTACAGCAGTGATGATCCTCGAGCTTTAAAATACTGATAAATCATGTAGAACAGACTGGGGAGAGAAGCAAAGGTGTGGAAATAAAGGGGAAATCAAGTGCTTTATGTCAACTTCAATGGAGGAGGTTTTGCCAGGTTTGTGCACATATCAAATAAAGTCTTAAATAAAAGTGGAACCTTGACACTGGTAGCTCAACTGACTTAAGTATTCACTGCACGAATCTCTTACTTTCATGTTGGGAAACTTTTTGATTTTAATTGAAAAATCTATAATTTAACAAGAATTTATTTCTCTGATCATTCATCATGCTGTATTGGAGCAAGGGCTGGGCTGTGCTTGGTTGAAATGTCAAATGAAGAGCTGTTAGAATCCTCAACCTGCCTGACCTAATTAAAGCCCTCCTCCTGTTTCCTATAAAAGAAAAACTGTGTAAGACTCAGTGCCAGTGCTTTGAATGAATTTTATACACACAATGGCTGTGCCTGCTCCTGCTGCCTCTTATGAAGTAAAAGTTTAGGCTCCCACTGAGCTGCTTAAATGGTACCACTGGGACCAGACCAAAAGCTTAACAGGATTCTGAGCCACATGTGATGTAGGGCTTGGAGCAGTGTTTGGGTTCCAAAGGTCAGCAGAGCCATTGCTGCTTGCAGGGCGTGTGCTCTGTGCAGGCACAGCTCACAAAGGGACAAAAGCACAGGTGAACTGCAATAATTCCCTAGGCTGGTGATTCCCTCTGCAGTTTGAGGCGATGCCTGAACTGCTGATGGGAATGGAGCAGGTAAGGCTCTGGATATTTGCATTAATATGATGCTGCCACACTTTTATTACAGAATCTAAGGGAGCAGAAACAGGAGGGGAGAAAGAGAGATTTAATTACTCTTTAGTCTCTATGAATTACAGTCTGAAAGGTTAATTTAAGGAATGGTCCATTGGGTCGCCCAGGGGTGCATTGTGCTTGAGTGACTGTGATACAGACAACAATATAATTTTTGTTTAGCTGTTCTATGAAATCAAGAGTGTTTCGTGAAGTGAATGTAATGACAATAAAGAAATTGGAAGTATAGGTAAAACACTACTGAATCCAGGTAAATATTTGATGAAAAAATAGATTATATTATACAATGAAGATAACAAATTATACATAGTTTTTATAATTTATACTGGCGAGAAAAAAGTGAAGATATTTTACAGGCTGACTTTTGGTTCTAGCTTGAGGCTTCAGTGTTCATGCTTTCCCTATTTTTCTCTTGCTCTAAGCCTGGAAGGCAAAATTTTCATTTCCATGTCATGGTTTTTGTTAAGATGCACAGGAGGCTCTTCCAGTCCATGTTGGGAGGAAGTGATGTGGTATTGATGTGCTGGGAGTTGTTACCTCAGAGCTGCTGAGCAGTTTGGTATTTCTTTGTAGATTTTTCTTCTGGATTTGAAGTTATGGATTACTGTTATTTTGAAATAGAATTCTAAGTTGAATGAAAGATAATTAAATGTCAGTAGCTTGTTACAAGGAAAAAAAGGGCATCTGCTTTAGAAGAAGGTAGAAACTCCCTAAAGTAGTTATATATATATATCACTTCTTTGTCCTGCGAATATTAGCTGTTTGTCATAAGTAAAGGTCATTTACAATATAATTCTATTAAATTTTAGCATGATTCTATTAAATTCTGATAGATTTTTCTGATTTCTCTTCAACTGTGTATTAGTTCCTATAGTATCAGCTGTTTTCCCTCCTTGACTACTACCAATTAAATACTGCTTTAATCAAGTCAAGTTGAAATAAATTCACCAGGGGCAGATGTCAGTGTGAATGTAGCTAAAGTGAGTCTTGGCCACTAATTCTTATGCATCCATTTTACTTTAGTTCTATTGTTTAAAAGAATGCCAGGAATGGTCTCTGCCTTTGGGGATCAGAAATGGCACAGCAACACTTTGTATGCAGGTTCCTGTTACGTGCAAAACTTGCATCAAAGAAAACCAAATCTGTCATGATGTAAGCATAAAGTTACATCCATGGGATGTGTACCAGAAGCAGTCATTGCTTTCTCAAAGGCAGTTTCACCTTCTCTGTGGGGTTTACCAGTTGGCTTTAGGTTAAACTCTGCATAAAGGCAGATTGAAAATGCTTATTATTTTCTATCATTCTAAAAGGAGAAATGAATTAACTTCTAGTGATTGTGACAGAGCTATATTAAGGGGAATGTTCTAGCAGCCAAATAAGATGTTTTGGTCCAATTATAAAGTTCCCCAAGTGAAAGATCGCAATGGGAAGATCACAGTTTCAGTAGGTAAACTTGGTAATGCTGAAAGTCAGACAGGTAATTACTGCAATAACTTTATTTACTGTTCGAAGCACCGTAAACATGATGAAAATAGGAGCTAGCCTGCAGCTGAGGCAGCCCGCGTACACTCCGGCTCACTCGCTCTTCCTTCAGGCACAGGAAATCAACACCAGTAATGGGGGATCGGGGCCGGTTTCCTAAAATCCAAGAGCTGTTGCCAGTATGCTTTTAAGGTTTTATGGAGAGGAGGTGGGACTGCCGCTGTGTCCCTGCTAAAGCGCGTGCCGTGGGCCGCGTATTTTATAAAAAAAGCCGCTTTTTTTGGTGTTTGGGACGGTCCACGTCCCACCGCTCTGCGCGGGTTCACAAAGCCCCGCCCCCTCCACCTCCGCTCCGCCCCCTCCGCGCCCCTCAGCCAATGAGCAGGCGGCGGCGGGGGGCGCGTGCGTGGCTCGCGGCGCGGCTGGGCTCGGGCGCCCCCTGGCGCCCTGGCCGTGTCGCAGCGCGGGGCGGGAGCGGCAGCAGGGCCGGCCATGGTCGGCCGGGAGAAGGAGCTGCGGATCCGCTTCGCGCCGGGCCGCTGCGAGCTCGTCGAGGTGAGTCCCTGCGGGGAGCTCCGGGGGGCAGCTCCCGGGGCGGGTCTCTGCGGGAGCGCGGCGCGGGGCCGGGCGGGCAGGCCCCGAGCGCTGAGGGAGGCCCGGGGCGGGGGGGCGCGGCCGCGGGGGCTGCGCCTGAGGGGGAGTGGGGAGCGCGGCCGGGAGCTCCGGGAGCTCCGGGGCTCCGGGGGCCGAGCGGCGCCGTGTCCGCTCGCCGTGTCGGACCGGGATGGCCGCAGCGCCGTCTCACGGCACTGGGAGGGTCTCTCTGCCATGGGGAGCCTGTGCAGGGATTCCACGCAGGATTCCCCACGGGATTCCTTTGGGAGGCTCGCCCCTGCCCGCAGGTGCCCGTGGTCCCCACAGGTGTCCGTGAGCGGCCGCAGCAGTGGGGCTTTGACGGGCCAGGGGAACGCGGAACAGCCTCTGGCAGCGCGGTGAGGGTTCGGCTCTCAGGCGGAATTTTGCAGAGCCCGAGGGTTTGCCTTTTGCTTTCTGCCACTGCCGGGGCTGTCAGAGCTCAGCCGCAGCTCGGTCTCCCCGTGCCTTCCCTGCTGGGACTTGTGTATCCCGGTATTATGTTGCAAATGAGTGTTACACCAGGAGCTTCCGCTTTGTCGTGGCCGTTCCCTAAAGTTGGCGTTTTGAGTTCGTCGTGATTTTCTAAATAAAAATATAAAGCTTAAAAAGTACTTGTTTCTGTTTTTCACCTCGAAACGCATCACGTTTTGCTCTCTTTGTAAATTACACTCCTATTTTGTGTTTTGTTGGTGTCTGCAAAGTAATCTGGTGTCTCGTGTTATTTTTTAATCTTACCATGTTGTCACTTGTTTATTTTTATGTCAGTGAGACAGCCAAGCACAATTCTTTTATTATTGTGTTAATTCTTAGTTAATGTTGACATCAGATAAAAGAGAATTAAATTGGATGCTTCATTATGAAGCTCAAAATTCTGCAAATCAGTGGTGTTGTTCAGAATGGTTTGTGAAGACAAGTTTTTGTGGGCTTGATGATTGGAATGTGGTTGTGGCTTAGCTGAGAAACACATGTGAAGGGTTTGTTAGCACAAGGCTCATCTGAACATAGGGTAATTTATAGGTAATTTGTACCTATAAAACTTGCAGGCAGAAGGATAATATCTGAGTTCTAGAATGTCTTTTATTCTTTACATATAGTAACTGTATATAAAATTACTTCGAAGTCAAAGTGTGCTTTGTAGCTCTCTTTTCTATGTGTGGACAACAGCAGCACCTTCTGCACATCTGTGAGAGCACCTGCAAACAGCAGTGGTGGGAACATGGAACTTCAAGGGCCTTTGGGCTCAGAAGTTCTGTGGTTCTGAGGCAGAAGTGCTGCTGCAGCTGGGGGATGTCCTGTGAAGGAGCTTATAGGGAAAGAATTCATCTGTGCAGGTTTTGTTACCACCAGAATGTGTAGCTTCTGGCAAGGTGAAGTAGATTCAAACTGGTAGTTAGTTTGTGTTGGATTTATGGGAAGAATCTATGAGTTATCTTGCTTTTTCAGAAACAAGTGATGAAAATCAATCAGTCTTGCAGGCAAGAGCAACAGGATGTGCTTGGTGAAAGCTGTGTTTGTGTCCAGTTCAAGCTGTGCTGCTGATGTAACATCCTCTTTACGCTGTGCAGAATAAACAAACTTAGATGAATCATGCTTAGAAATGTCAGATTTTAGGAATGACACTTGGTTTTGTGTTGGTCACCTCCTACTTATTAAAGATGTTCGGTGACATTTTCAGAGAACCTTTTGACTGTTCTGCAGCAAGTCTGGGATGTTTGTAAGAAACACTGATCAAATGTCCTGTGACACTCTGGGCAGACTTTGCAAAGGGAAAAAGTACAGGAGAAAACAGTAGTTGCACATTCTCACTCATGCTGTTTAGAGAAACATGGATAGCCTTAAAAATTGTAAATAAACTTGTTGTGAGGTAAAATTTAAGGACACGAACAAACAAAATTTTTGAAACATCACTTGCTATAGTCTGACATTTTCAGCCTATTGCCCAGATATAAATTATTAATTTTCATCCAGTACTGATGGGAATAAGTCATGCTTCACCTGGAGTTTTAGAGATGAGACAAAAGCAAGCACTGTACTGGGAACTGGAAGCAGTTGTTTTGGGATGGGCTGCTTCTGTCATGCCCAGAGCTCTGCATATACCCTTGTGGAACAAGAGCTTTGTAATTTCAAGGGTGAAAACCAGTAATTTAGAAGCAATTGCTGTGTTTTCCTGAGCTGCAATCAAAAAGTAGCAGTCTGGTACAATGCTCAGAAATTCCTGGGCTGTTGGGATTGCACAGCAGAAGTATTCTGTGATGTACAAAATTATAGTCAGTTATCACAAATTGTCCTTTTCTGTAAAATGGTCAGGAAATCCAAGGTTTGTGGGTTCTGCATACCCAAAGTTTTTTTCTGTGCTGGCATGGTAAGCATATGCATTCATTTTTGTGTCCAGCAGGCTCTTGTTCATGGCAGATGCAGAGGCAAAGCATGAAAGGAAAATAAAGACTACACAGGCAGACACAGATCTTGTGTTTGCTGCCTTTAAAACTTGATGTTCTAGTGAGAGGTGGATAAAGTTTGTGTGTGCCAATGCACAAAGTTGTCCCAGTACCAAAACAGGGGGAGCTGAAGTACAGTTCTAATCTGTTGTGTAGATTGAGAGTTGAAATTGTCAAATCATTTTCAGACGCATTTTGTAAAACTGACAAGAGATCTGTGTCTTGGTTTTACTTATTATACTGTTTGGCTGAGCAACAATCAATTAGTGTTCAATTTAATAATAAAATTCAAGTCTTCTTACAGTGATTTGTGTTGTATTGCTGCAGCTCCTACAGCCACAATCTATCCAAACTTATTTTTTGTACCATTTGGACCCTAAATCTTACATCTTTTGGGTCCGTTTTCTAAAGAAGTTGTTTCCTCCTTTCAGATTGCACAAGGCTATCAGCTTTTGAATGAACTTAAAGTTCTGTCTTCACTAGTGGTTTGGTTTGTTGTAGAAGTAAATGAGTTTCCCACTAAAGTTTTGTTTTCATTATCTTCAAGTGTATGTTTAAATATTAGTCTGGCTGCAGTATCGGTGCTCCCAGATGTTTGTGTTCCGTGAGACACTCCAAAAGAATCAGGAAAAGCTTATTTAATACAGTAGCTCTGACTGTGGCCTCACATACTTTTAAAGAAAAAACATTAGAAAATTGCAGTAGAAACAAAACTTTTCCTGTTGTCATTTCCCTAGGAAGATGTTGACATTCCCAGTAGGCGAGTTTTGATCACTGGTGCTACGGGACTTCTTGGCAGAGCTGTGTTTAAGGAATTCCGTGAAAATAACTGGAATGCAGTTGGCTGCGGGTACAGGAGAGCTCAGCCCAGATTTGAACAGATTAATCTTCTGGACTCTATTGCAGTTCATGACATTATCCATGATTTTCAGGTAAGTCTGGAGCATGAAGTGGGTGGATGGTTCAGTAGTCAGTGGATGGTGCTGCTGAGCTCTGGGGCTGCAGTGGGGCCGATGCTCGGGCAGAGCTCTGACAAATGTGTGTGTTGTGCCCCACCCAGAGTGTAGGTTTGCTGTGTAGGGACAGACAGCTCTGAGCTGTGCTGTCCTCACCTCCACAGGCACAGCTGTACATGGCAGCCCACTGGCACTGCCAGGTGAAAGGACAAGATCAGTGTGAGTTATTGACACAGTAATGG